ATGCCAGTCTGTGCCCTCTGGGCAGCATCTCAGGAAACTTCTCTAAGATTCCTTTATCTACTTATAAATATAATAAGAATGTTTTGGAACTATTTTTTAATATTTGCTGACTTGTAGTAGTGGATTCAGCTGTGAGAAGGTTCTTGTCTGGACCTTCAAGACAAGTGAAAAGAAAAGAAAAAAAAATCTCCCTCATCAACCCCTTCTATCTCCTTCCATTTATGGGAGGAAGTTTTCTATTTTTAAAAAAATAAGTGATGCACCACGTCTGCCCTGCTCTAACAGCGTAATTTTTAAAAACTTCCTCTGCGTCTCCATGAAGGAGCAGGTTAATTTGCCAACATCCAGAAGTATATTAAGCCACTTCATGATATAGCAAATTGACAGCAGAATAAGCCAGACAAAATAGAGGCATTTGAATTCCCTTTGGATGTAAGGATCACAGCAAATGGCAAACTGGACCTCTGCTTGACCCCAAGTGACCCTGTTTAGCCCACTCCTGCCAGCTCGTAAGAGCCCATCTAGACAAATCATGAGGCTCTTGAGGGCAGTCACAATAGGCAACATAGGAAAAACAATTTGGCTGCCTAAAAAGGGAACTTCCATGTTGTTGGCATACATCAAAGAATAAAATATGGACACTTCTATTTGAAATGGAATGCTGATTAAAAATAAACTCTGTAAAATGTTAGCCATATGCCCCCAGGACCGCAGTACAATCCATTAATCTGCTTTCTGCTTACTGGTACACCTGATAGAATTAACCTCCTTTAGAAAAACAGATGTGTCCTTTACTGTTTCCTTTTGTTTTTCCTGCTGTCCTTTTAGAGTTTTAATGTCAAAGAAGCAGTAGAATGTATTATTTTGTTGGACTTATGCCCTGTTAGCATATCAATAATGTATGTGAGGTGAAGGCAGGTGTACCATCTGTCAAGAACCAAGTACTATTCCCTGTATGGTGGCTATTGTTTGCTTTATCCTCTTAACCTTCCATTTTATTCCAGAAGTTCTGTTTCAAATCCTCCTCAGAGGTTTCAAATCCTCCTTAGAGGCTTATTTCACCTTCACCTTTGTTCTCCAGAAAAGTCAAGGTGTTGAAATATTCATTTGCATGTTGATTTTCAGTTAAATATAGTTTCACCAGGTTTTCTCTCGCTGTATGACAAAGTAACTTTTTGACATATTACAACTAATCCTTGGCTATCCCCTAACCTAAACATTCTGGAGTCCAGCGCTTGATTAAACATGTGCACTTGTATAAGTAGGCAGGTACATCCGAAAATGGAAGCAAACATTTTATCAAAGGTAATGGCCAATTTTCAAGAACAATATCATCATAATGAAGAAAATGAAGACGTAGTTTCAAAGCACGTTAATATTAATACTGCAGATGGGGGGCATAATCCAAGGAGCTGCTTTAAGGAGGACCTCTGAGTTTATAACATACACAGCTGAATTCTGCTTTAACTTTCACAATCAGCTGAAGCAGAATTAAAAGTGCTTATGAAATTCCACTGGGTTTAAGAAACAAAATGCCACATAGTACACAGGATTAGCTGCAAGGTTTTCTAGATTGCAGCTGGTGCCTGGGAAAAAAGTAATTCTTAAGCATGATAACAGTGAAGTCTAATAGTGCTCAAATACAGGTTTATAAGGGCTGGCAATGTAATAATTGATCTGTAAGTTATTTTTTTGCTGTGTATAGAACATATATTTTCTAATATATTTTATTATCTGTTAAAGACACAAGGAACACAACAACCTCAATATTCTATTGAACCTTGAGGTGTTGTTAGGATATCATCTGTGCTTAAGCTCTGTGAATGAAAGCTGTGTTGTGCCAGAATATCACAGTAAAAGAAGGTGTCTGTGTGTAAGCTATAGGTCCACTAAAATGTCACAGTCGGGGAAGTGTTAGTTTGATGATCTGATCTGGAGCTGATTGTGTTGCTTGTGAAACACAATCAGCTCCAGGTCTTGTTTTTACTGACTGTATAAAGCTTCTCCATCTTTGGCTGCAGAGAATATAATCAATCTGATTTCGGTACTGCCCATCTGGTGATGTCCATGTGTAGAGTCGCCTCTTGTGTTGTTGGAAAAGAGTGTTTGTGATGACCAGCTTGTTCTCTTGACAGAACTCCCTTAGCCTTTGCCCTGCTTCGTTTTGAAATCCAAGGCCAAACTTACCTGTTGTTCCTTTTATCTCTTGACTCCTTTCTTTAGCATTCCAGTCCCCTATAATGAGAAGAACATCTTTCTTTGGTGTCAGTTCTAGAAGGTGTTGTAAGTCTTCATGGAATTGGTCAATTTCAGCCTCTTCAGCATCGGTGGTTGGTGCATAAACTTGGATTACTGGGATGTTGAAAGGTCTGCCTTGGATTCGTATTGAAATCATTCTATCATTTTAGAGATTGTATCCCAGTACAGCTTTTCCCACTCTTTTGTTGACTATGAGGGCTACTCCATTTCTTCTATGGGATTCTTGCCCACAATAGTAGATATGATAATCAAATTGAATTTGCCCATTCCTGTCCATTTTAGTTCACTAATGCCCAGGATGTCAATGTTTATTCTTTCCATCTCCTGTTTGATCATGTCCAGCTTACCAAGGTTCATAGATCTTATGTTTCAGGTTCTTATGCAGTATTTTTCTTTGCAGCATCGGACTTTCCTTTCACTTCCAGGCACGTCCGCAGCTGAGCGTCCTTTCTGCTTTGGCCCAACCACTTCGTTAACTCTGGAGCTACTTGTCCTTGTCCTCCGCTCTTCTCTCACTGTCATGTTGGACGCCTTCTGACCTGATGGACTCATCTTCCAGTGTCATATCTTTTAGCATTTTGTTTCTGTCCATTGAGTTTTCTTGGCAAAGATACTGGAGTGGCTCCAGGTGAATCGTGTTTAGTCAGAACTCTCCACTATGACCTGTCCGTCTTGGGTGTCCCTGCATGGCATAGCCCATAGCTCTTCTGAATTATTCAAGCCCCTTCACCACGACAAGGCAGCAATCCGTGAAGGGGTGACATGTTAAGCTTTTGCAATAAACACAACACAGGGTCTTGTGGTATCTTGTGAGACAAGAATACATTAGCCCAAATCTTGTTGCATAGATCTGCCAGCCAAACAGGAGAAATATCACCAGTAGCAGTGTGTTACTGCTAATCAAAGAGTTCCTGGTTTAATTTTGGGATGTGTGCAACTTTGTTTTGAGGCATGTAAGTTGCAAGCAACCCAAAGCAAGACATCTTTAATTAATGCTAATGATGTCACTCCTGTTGCACAAATATAGCTGTGAAACTGGAAATGGGCCAGCTCTGTGGCTTAAGTCCCTCTTGAGTCAGCCTTAATTCTCCATTCTCTTCCTCCAAATCCATTATTCTGTTCTAGGGACTCTGTCTTTTGAAGATATGTGCTATTGTTTTTATTTCATTACATCTGTTAATCAATCCATCAACATGAGATTGATTGTGTTACCACTCAATTTGTATAAGTTTTATGACTCCTATTTGGCCATTTTAATTTATTTGTGATTTTTGTATTCTTATTCCCTCTTGTGCCTCTGCATTGAGCCCTCTACTGACAAGTGTGCATTCTAAACTATTTTCTTATGCTTACTTTGGACAAGTACTTTTTTGTTTTGTCATACATGCATTGCACAAATATTGAAACTGGAAATGGGTCAGCTCTGTGGCTTAAGTCCCTCTTGAGTCAGCCTTAATTCTCCTGGAGACAGAAGGTAGAACACAAATCTTCCTCCAAATCCATTATTCTATTCTAGGGACTCTGTCTTTTGAAGATATGTGCTATTGTTTTTATTTCATTACATCTGTTAATCAATCCATCAACATGAGATTGATTGTGTTACCACTCAATTTGTATAAGTTTTATGACTCCTATTTGGCCATTTCAATTTATTTGTGATTTTTGTATTCTTATTCCCTCTTGTGCCTCTGCATTGAGCCCTCTACTGACAAGTGTGCATTCTAAACTATTTTCTTATGCTTACTTTGGACAAGTACTTTTTTGTTTTGTCATACATGCATTAAGCCGCTTATCTAGGCTTCTCAGCTAACAATGACTGCTGAATAACCTTAATGACTGTTATTAGGATCACCATCACTATGCTGGGATCTTTTGCATTTCTATTTCATTTGTTATTAACCCACCCATCCACAACTACATAGTTGCTTTTTAAATTGCTAGTTGCAATGAGTTGACTCCAGCATATGTAATGTTTTGTAGCCGCTATGAAAGCAAAACCAATAAAAACAACAACAAAAAACCTTGACACTATCACATATTACATGTACTGCATCGCAGTACTATGGGGTAGCCTCTAAGCAATTTGCAGAAGCTTAGAGTCAGCCTTAATTATCCTGGAAGACGGGAGCTAGGACATGGATCTTCTTCCAGAGCCATTATTCTCTTCCCAGGACTCTGTATTTTGAAGATGTATGATGGAATTATGGAGAACTTTTATTGCATGGTTTAGATCTGTTTAGTAGTGGTTTAATTGAAGACTATGTGGTGGTTGCTGAATCAACATACGTTTTCCAATGTTTGCAGGTGAGAACAGAAATATTGTAGAACAATTTTAGGAGATGGCTTTTACAGTATTATTTGTTACTTGAAATGGTCAACTTATTTTAGGCACTGACATTTACTGACTCCTATGAGACTATACTGCTACTGACTTATGAGAAAGTGCAATTATACCTGTCAATTAGAAACAGCCTTGCTTTTCCTTCTCTATATGACTTCTCAGCTGAGTATGTTAATTAGCCATTTGGAACACCTCTTGGTATGTGAAACTGAGATAACAGCAGGCCATAAATAGAGCATGTTCACCTCCTGACATTTTGTATTATTTGATTCTTGTCCACATCTACTCCCCCCCCAATGAGTACGCAGTATTGTTCTTTTAGCACTGACAGATGGGAGGGGTTTTGCACATTTTGTGACTTCTTGTCCTAAGCAATTATTTGCTTTTCTGCCCCAAACAGAGCCATCACATTACAGAATCAGTTGGTTATCCTTGCAACATCATCAGCAGATGCTGGCAGCTACTATGTCCAGGCAGTCAATGAAAAAAATGGAGAAAATAAAACAAGCCCATTCATTCACCTGAGTGTGACAAGTGAGTACTACTCTTTTGACAAATGTATTCTGAAACAGGTGTCGCATACAGTACCGGAATGATGGAGTTTTAACTTACAGGAAAGTAGCTTTAGAAGTGTGTTTCATCCACTGTTTTTCCTTAAAAAAATCCTGAAAGAAAAAAAAATTAGCTTCCAAATTGTGAGTGAAGGCTCAGTCTCATAGCTTATATCCTTACAGTGATTTACATTTTGGTGCTTTTTGAATGAACTTTATTAGTTCTTAATCAATATTCTAAAAAGTTTTGCAACCTTTTCTATTTCATACACGGAAATGTTGATGTTAGTATTTTGTTAAGACTTTTACAAGGAGGCTCTCTTTAGCAACAAGAAACTTGTGCCTTATATATATTTGGTCTCTATAATTTTATTTGCTTGTTTGGCAGCTTGGTAAATTAGATATCTAGTTGCAGAGACAGAGATTAAGAGTTTGATTCTGCAGGGTGCTTACCAGGAAAAAATAGGCAGCCTGTGTAGCCTTGGGCAAGCTGCATAGACCAAGAGCACCCCCAGAAGAAGAGAATGGCAAACTACTTCTGAGTAGACTGTAAACTAGAAAACTCTTAAATGCCTTAAGTTGAAACCTGACTTGACAGCATGTTGTTGTTTTTGTATTGTAACCATCTCTGACTGTAGATGTTGGATGTGAGAAATTTGCCGTCTGGTCACAGTACCTGATGACTGTGCCTCTTGTCCATCCCTACTCTCATGTCTCTTTCCAATTTCTCGTATTGGCTGTTGCTTGCTTGAGCCATCCAGGTGTGCCTTCCTCGTAGTCCTCATTTACCTTACTCTTCAGCCTTTCTACCAGCAGCAAGTGCTGATCTAGTGTAAAGAGGCAAATACATTAGAATCATAAGATACGGTTGTATTGTACTGTTTGTCTCAGAAAATCTTTTGCAAGTATAAATCTGTAACAAGAGTTAATACAAATCATGCCCTCAATCCACTTGTTTTTTCCAGCTAGATTAGACCTGTTGAATTAATTGCTCAGTGGTGAGTAGACACTGCATAAATCTCATAAATGGGTCTATTCTTATAGTGACTAGCAATTGTATTTAGAGAGCTATGATACAGATAATGGATGCCCTACTATACTGAACACAGTACGGTCTAAATTAGAGCATATGGTGCTGTGTATGACAAGAAACTGACTAGACAGGTTATCAGAGTGGTTATATTTAAACAGTCTAATTTCTGATAAATCAAGCAGTGTTTCATGCCATTTTTTATGTTCAGATGGTACACAGATAATAAGGGAAAAGAAAAGGGGTTTCGATTTGGTCCATCTATTTTTTTTTAAAGAAAAGTCGTTAATTGATACAGCTTAAAAGATTCTGTACAGTTTCTGGGGACCAAAATCTTGTGATGTTATGCTAATTCCACATTCAGTAGTGTTAGATCCTGTTTGGGAAGGAACTGTTCAGGAGCCTCTGATCAATGAGAACAATTAGAGTTAAATATACAAATGTTTTATTAAACAAATGGGCTAGATGAGCTGGCTTTGCGGGCTGAATTTAAGAAATACAGAGTTATCATGAAAGAGAGAAAATGCCAGGAGTTCCCTTTGTTATTCTGGGCCAAAAATGTGTATTGTGATGTGGCTGTTCTGTTACTTGGAATATGAGCACCGGCTATTTGACCATATTATTGTACTTCCTGCTTTTGTGTTGCAAATCCTTTTTGATGTGGATTTTAAATGGCATAGGGTCTAGTTACAGGTATGTTTTAAAGGCAGAACTGAGGAATTTTGGATGGAGTTCGTGAATGTATGTATTGTTCATACATTCCTCGTGCAAAAATAGGCAGTCATACAGATGTCCCTTTCTTCCTCTCTTAACAGGGGGGAAAGGAAGGAAGGAAGATTCCCCAGCTTATCATATGCACTGATATATACCAATAATGGATACCTGAATGGATTCAGAGATATTTTGCCATGTTAGCTAATGAGCTCACCACATAATTTGAAGCCAGACCTAGAATACCTTGCAGGCTTTGCCACACACTCCCTGGTTTTCCTTGTAAAATAAGGTTGATAATTACATTCCCTAAATCACTTGAAAAAATCTTGAATAAAACGTGCCATGTAACCTCTGTCTCATTTTTTTCCTGGCAGCCCAGAAAAAACAGCTATACTTAGAATTTAATGACATTCATTTATAAAGCAGGCTTTAATGTCTGTATTACATAACCACTAATGCACTCTGCAGCTCATTTTCTGATCTTAATTAACATTGGGGAATAGTCAGTCTGTGGCCATGTGAATAAAACATTTACAGTACAAGACCATAGGGGACAAAGAATGGCATGGGCATAAGAGAAGAAAACAAAAATGAAGATAAAAATTTTGGAGGGGTTGAGAAGTTCATGCAGGTCATCTTTTAAATAATGGGAAGGATAATAATTAAAACACTTTCTTCTTCTTCTTTTTTCCTCTTTCATCAGCAAAGAGGAAAAGAGGCAGCCAGGCCAGGCAGTCCAGCAGGTATTGTTCACATGACAAATGTGTACAGCACAATAGCTATGTTTGAAGAGCTGTTTGAGCAGGCAACCAGGTGGCTCCAGGTAGGGGTGTAAATAGTCATTTGTTTTGACCTCAGTCCGAAGGATGAACAGCTAAGGTATTTTGTGACAATCTTGACAAAAGGATAATGGTTTTGTGCCAACTGAGCAAAATTGTCCAAATCATGTTTTACTGCAAATAATCCTTTAATGAGACTTACACAAGCTCTTGCTTTGTTACATGGAATGTTAAGGCTTAGAAACTGCTGAAGGATAGTTTGGGTCTAGGTGTGTGCTCAGCTTCTCCAAGGAAAAAGATAGTTGTTTTGCCCAGACACAGTTTGGGCAAATTTGGTTTCTCCTTTCTTTTTCTTTTAATTAGGAGATGGGTAGGAGGAAATGAAGTATTGTCACTGAGATGATTCAGAAATAGATAGACAATTTATCTCTAGACCAAAAAAAGCCTGTTATCTCAGTCACACGATTTATTCTACCTTTACACAATGCAATATTGCACATTTCTTTGTCTTTCTTCAAATATTTTATGAAAAGTCGCAAAGTATGTAGCTTGAGTGAGTAACTGAAAAGGCAACTTTGCAAAAGGTGAGTATTTGTCAGCTTTTTTGGCAGCCTGCGTTATTTTTTCCAACACTAATTATCTGGAACTGCAATTCAGATCTTTGCTGCCAGACTTTCCCATTCAAGTTGTTTAATATAAAGCTGCATGCCACTGTAGTAAGTATGTTAGTAAATTGGATATATTAAGTGTGTTAGTAAATTAGATATTATTCGGCCCAATTCATAATACAGTATTAGGCAATACATGTTTTGCAGACTTTGGTATCTTTTTCCCCTGAAAAATGCAAAACATGATTGATGAAATTTTGAAAAACCTGCCAGCCAGCAGTTCTGAAGAGTCAGAAGATAATAAAGCCAATTATTATTTAACAAAGATAAATCTACCTCCCAAGCATTGTAACTGTAAAAGAAGGAACCCATAATCCTGTTGATAAAATTAAAGTTTTGAGGGGACTAAAATTAAATTCTTGGCTTGGCCATAGTGCAGTTAACTTGAAATATAAGAATGCCATCTTGGCCTGGCCAATTTTCATTTATAATAACAAGGTGTTTGTCCCAGACTATGAGGAGTTCAAAAACTACGCTACATAAGTCTTATTTAAATTTATCTAGTTGTTAAACTAACCCTTTAATCCTAATGAAACTCTCGAGAAGGTAAATATTATGGATTCAAATTCACTTAATTTTTCTGATGTCTATCCATACCGAATTCCTAAGGTAGCCGATGGGTTTCATCCAGTGCCCGATTCATGCTCATTTATATGAACATCTGCTTACCCAAACATTTTGAATGTTCTGGCATGTTGTGATGATAAATGAGGCCTGAACTATATAAAATTATGGGAGAAGGGAAATTATAGAATCACATGAATCTGCATCAGTTAGGTGTACTGTTGAAAACACCAGATCTTAATAAATTTCTTCCATTCTCAAGTTATGTCATATTGACCTATGCCTTTTTCAGAGTCACACCATTGTTCCATATTTATGTATCTAAAATGTGTGACTTCAATGAAACAAACTGCCAAAGCTGTTTTCATTCAACCTAAAAAGACACCACAGAACCATTGTAACATTTTATTGGTTAACCCCAGTTTACTACGTATTGCTGTAAGAGTCTGTCCAGGGACTAGGTAAAAGCCCGGATGGAATGAAGTGGGCTAGAATGGGACCTTCTTAATAAAAATTGATGCCAAAAATAGTGGGATGTGATCAGCAATGAGCAGAACAATATTTTAGACCTCAGACCCAATGCATTGCCCCTTTATTGCCACAGCGGAGCACAGTAGCCTAGAACAGCAAGTTCTGAGGAGGATAAACCAACATAATTCATTAATTGTATATGACTAGATGAGGTAGATGTAGCAAGCCACAAATCATCTGCAGGAACAACATTCTAGCACCCATTCTGGGCAGTAAACTGATACTGGGAAAAACAACCTGGAATGGCAACTTCCTTGTAGGCTAGCCCAACAAAATTCACCCACTCCGACTAGAGGGGACTCATGCAAAAAGCCAAAAAATCTGCCCCAGGAATAACATTCCAGTACCCATTCCAGCCAGAAAATAGATACTTCAAAATTCACCTCCCCATCTGACTGGTTGCATCAATTCCTGCTAGTCGGATGGGACAGATGAATTTCATGGGCTGTCCTACTTTGAGGTTGCATATGTGTCCCACTTTTTGGCACCAATTCTTATCAAGAAATCTCCATGCAGCCCGTTCTGTCCTGGCTTTTACCTAGTTCTGTCAAAACAGATGTTACATTGAACCTGTCTTTAGAAGTGGAGATGCCCTAAGGGGTTAAATTTGTTTATGTACGTTAACACAAGATTTCCTAGCTCTAGAAGCTGCAAAATATCTTGCTTTTCTTTAGTGATTTATTTCTGGGAAGTAAGC